AGTTTGGCGTGCAAAATAAACGTTTTAAATGGGTGTTTGCTGCCGCTTTCATTCGTGACACCATTTACTGTGATCGAGAATCAAGAAGAATGACAGAGATAGGAGGGCCCGACAGTATAAGAATACTAAGTAACAAGAATCTAGAGACAGCCAGTGTTCCTTTTTCTTTGGGGCTCCCCATATACGTGTTTTTTTAGAATAAGTTCTGTCTCGTATTCATCGAAATTGTAGACTAGACAGCAGACAGATGAGAAACAGCTTCCGATCTTGGTCGCACTTAATGATGTCACAATGCATTGTTGATCAAGTAACAAAATTTTAATTTTTAACTTTTTTTAAGAAAACTCTTGGCATTATGAAAATTTTTACAGGATCTAAAGTGGACATAACATATTTCTGCCAATAGCCAAAGTTTTTTCCAAATATGTCCATAAATAAATGTAGAAATTATATGTACTTATACATTCTAATCTCCGTAAATAGCCTTAAAGAATGTACATTTTTAGACGTAAGCTAAATAATGCACATACATTTTTACATAATTAATTTTTTCCATTACTACCACAATAATTTCACCTAAACATTCTATGTAATTATAAATGCATGACGAGTGATGATTCGTTAAAACATTTCTTCAAATGGAACAAGTAACTCACGATGCAATACGTAATTATACTGAATATACTCACTAGCCGTTGGCTTGACTGGTTTGGCGATAGCTCCTGTTGGCACGGCTGGCAGTTCTGTAGGGCCAGGCACTTTAAGCAAATCTTCTTCCAGACCTTCCTGTTCCAGCTCTTCCAACTCCTTTTCCAGTTCTTCTTCATCTAAATCGTCAGCAAATCCTACAGGGTTGCTTATTGCATTTGAAATTTCGTTAGCTAAGTCGTGCTGTTCAGCAATATCATCCATGATATCGTGAACGTTATCCACATCCCTAAAATATACATCAGTGAACACCATCATCTCCCATCATTTAAATAATGTTTATCTTAATCTAATCTTACTTTCTGGTCATAATTTTTATAGTTAAACAGATAAGAGTTTTAACTTTGATTTAATATGGAGGTTATAGACAATTTCGTATTCAAAATTTTTATAAAATAACATTGATTTTGATAACTTTAGAACTACATACAAGTCTTTGTGAGCTGTTTTCAGTGCTTCTGCAGCATTTTTCATAGAGTTTAATACGGCCGTATTTGTGTTAGCTCCTTCTAGAGCTTCTCTTTGCATCTCGATCGTCGTAAGCGTTCCATCTATTTGTTGCAAATTTTTTTCTAGCCTTTTCTTCTTTTTAAGGGCTTGAAGCGCAACTAAAACCACATGATTGGTATACCAAAGACTCGATTTGTTTTATGTCACAAACTCGACAAATTGTGATAGGGAAACAATTTTTAGCCTGTATTACTTACCCCTTTTGTTTTTAGAGGCATTTTTCTTAGCTAGTAACATGTACTCATCTATCTTCTTTTCCAGAAAATCTTGCTTTTTCAGCAACATATCTTCTGTTTCCCTAAGCTTCTGTATAGCTTCTCCAGTGGTGGGCCCCTCATCCTCTTTTTTGCCACCAAAAAGTTTTCCGAAAAAACTCATTTTTTTTTTGTTATTAGTACAATTCACTAGAACACTACGCTATTGCTATTAGTCACCAAAAAAAATAATGAGTTTTCCAATGACAACAAATTTGACAGCTGTTCTTAACCGAGCCCTGCAGATGTCAGGATTTTTGCTATGTTGCCAAGTACAACCTGTCTGAGTCACGTCTTTTTTTAACGGGCAACAAAAAATAACCTATATTTATTTCAATTCCATGAATTAATTTCTTGCTAAATAGATTGCTTAATCCTTATAGAACAGACGTAAAGTCGAAATTCTTTTTGCGTTGCAATTTTAAAGAAATATGCTAATGAACCTACAAACAACCTACATCTTGATTATATTATTATTATTATACAACCAATAATGAACCTCTATTATATGTTTTATGTCTCTAATCTAGGAATGAACCTGCAATAGCCGTAGCCAAGGTATGAGAAATTTAGATTACATCAGGAAATCAGGAATCAAAAAAAAAGGAATGTTGACGCCGTTTTATTATCTATACACAATTGATTACCGAAAAATACAATAAAAATNTTTTCTTATGCAAATTTATAATACAAATAAAAAATGCAATAAATTCAGGAAACACACTCCTTATTGATGAAGCTATCAAATTCTGCCAAAACTTCCTGCATATCTTTATATTCAGAATATTTGCATGCTTCCTCGATATTCAACCACTTGTAGTCTTGATGTTCATCTGATAATTTAACTTTGGCATTTGGATTTATTAATTCAGCCAACCAATATATCACAATCTTTGGAACACCACTAACTTCATAATTCAAAACTTTTTTGCAATTTTCATATATTTTGATATCACCCTTTAAGAGTCCTGATTCCTCTTGAGTTTCACGGAGAGCCGTTATCATTTCTGTTTCTCCTGGATCCACATGTCCTTAAAATTCCCATTTAGCAATTCAAAATTGTCTCCTATAATACAGTGCGTAGATTAGATAGATACACTACTTACCTTTTGGTGGTGTCCAGTGATGTATACCGTATGACGTTTGTAATAATAGATATTCTATTTTTCCGCAAATTCTACGGAATATAACAAAGCCTGCGGCAGTTTTCCTAGGCATTGTATACAATAAAAACCATTTGTCAATTATAGCTGATACTTTTATACAAATCAATATTGTTGTGCAAGGTATTCATTTTAAGGTTATGTATTGCATGTAAATAAAACATATATTTTTTATAATACAAAATGCATTGTATATTATCTAGACTGCTAAAAAAAACAATAAATAATTCTTCTACAATTTATTGCAGTGTTGCCAAAATAGAATTAGTTATTTATATTATCTACTAAACATCCAGGAATGTTATCTCCCAACTCAAAATTTAATTGACGTGAGTAATACTAATCTGTTGTTAGAACTCAGATAATACCTCATATAAGAGATAAAATAATAAAAACACTAATTTTCATGAAATATTTAAAGGTAATTTTTTATTTTGTTATAAGTACAATATCTTCTCCGCTTTCTCATGCACACTTCTTTCGATTTATCAATGGTGCCTTTTTAAAACCATGCTTAAGAAAAATGGTTGTATTTTCTCTAAAGTGCTCTAGTTACACGTAAACCATTCTAGCTTTCAGTCTATCAATCCAAACCCCTTATGAAGTGCTTTTGCTTCAGCAACAGATATAGGTTTCAACGTAAAACCTTCTAATCGAGGTTCATGTTCAAGATCCCGGAGCTTATAAACCATTTCCTTTATCTTTTTGTGCAAATTATCAAGATCCTCTTCTGCTTTGGCAATCTCTAAAATATAAACAGTTTTTTTAAGATCAAAAACATTTACTGTTGTACTAACCACTTCTTAAAATATTTTTACATTCGGATGAAGGCCTTTCGATATAAACAGTTCCCATTTGGATCCACGTTCTTCTCTCTTCAGTACTTTCTATAGCTCGTAATGCCTCTCTGAACTTATTTTGGGCATTTGCTATCTGCATTTTAGTTTCTTTGGCAGTTAAAATTTCTTGGGCAAGAGTTTCAACTTCATGTAGGTACTTGTATGATTTTTGTGTTTGTAAATCTTGTAAAGCTGCCATATTCGGCTACCGATATAATATACTAGAATTATTTTGGAGTAATCCAATTAGTAAAATTTGATCATTTTAAAGATAATGGAAACATCTAGTCATAAAGTTGATTTTCTTGTGAACGAACAGTCGTAACACATGTACAGTGTCTGAAACGTGAAAAAAAAATACTGACTAGAGTAGACATTTAATTCCACTTTGCTTCGAGGTTCTCTGTATATGCGCTTTTCTTAATACTTCATAAAAAAAAATTAAACTGAGTTGTCACGCAGTCCAGAGACACTGGTAGCAACACAAAACATTATATAGTGACTGACAGGTAACAGGACTGACAGATTAGGTTAGGTTTTTTTAAACAAGACGTGGGGTGAAGTTTAGGGATTTTCGTTTGATATAACCAACCGTAAATTCATGGAGAATAGTCTCCATGCGTAAATTGTTGGTTGCCTATGCTCGACGGTCACATGTTTTGTAAATACTAGAGAGATCCAGAATGCGCGCCATTATTCCATGGCTAGAAATTGGCCTCAATGATTTGGGATCGAGGGGGATTATCTCTTTTTATCCTGCCTCATCTCGTGTAGGCCTGGACAGCCTTCGTAGGTGGGCCCCATCCGTCGTCTACCC